GCAAAATAAATGCACCAACTGTCTGGGTCGCGATTTCACTGGGGAAAATCAAAGAGATAGCCTATGCAAGAGGCAACAACTTCATCCAGGAGTAACCAGAGAGAAAACAATCAAACAAGACTCTACCCAATGAGAAATTAACTCGATTGGGGAATTCATCCTATCCAACAGTGGACAAGGTAAGCTAAATCAAAAGTCATCCACGAGGATTAGCTCAGTTGGGGAATTAGAAAGGAGGCGCATTTTATGCTTAAGTTGGCACTCTATTTGGAAAGATCAAATGTGTTATTTGAATAGACACAACCAAGGTGTACGAACTCAGAGACATCAACAAATACAACTGTGCGTGCATGATGCAAGTGTGAATGAATGTCATGTGTATGCTGACAAAAACGACAGGGGAGATGGACAGAAGATGATAAGACATCACAGTACAACCCGGCGCTCGGCTAATCTCAAAAGGAGGGGAACATCACTGGAGATAGAAGACAAAAGCCAACAATGCTGTAAAATCCTTCTACAAGGCTTAAATCTCTTGGAGAGGAAGATATTTTCAGGTAGAAAACCCAAAGTCCGGTCTTCTATTGTCGACAACCCAATGAAAGGATAACAACACGAACAAAGCTTCAGCTGAAAAAGAGTCATGCTTAGCTGGAGATACTGGGAACACCACCCTCTGAAAACATATCTTGACAAATTTGGATTGCTCCTGGGACTAAATTTGGATGCCCCAAGCCTACTGCTGATGAGCTGCATGATGCACGACGATTCTTGCGAATAGTTTCACTTCTAAAATGCCCCAAGCTATATGGTTGATGAGGAAAAAACGTCTCAAGAGGATTTTACAAAAGACCTGACATTCACCATGCTCTGGTGTCTTCAAACTCTTAGAGAAAATCATCAAATCTCGACGTGATTGCCCCGAATTGACTGTAGTTGGCATAACAAAGTCTTCGAAATTTTGCCCCAAACGAGCAAACAAGTTGGGAAAAGCAATAACTGGGAGAAGCAACATGTTCGTGCTTAAGGTCTTCAGCTGACATGCCCCTGGATAGGGTTTTTCTTGACGTGATCCGCCAATTACTCAACATAGTTTCAAGCCTTAAAAGAATAAACTCATCACTGGTGTTTATGTGAGCTTCCTTGATATCAAGCAAATGTTTTGCAGTTAGAAAAAAGTTTACAATGAGAATGAAAATTCTAATGCAACAGTTATGTAAGTCTTGAAGATTTTGAAAAGATATCGCACAAATTTTGCGAGTTAGAGCATCATTTATTTTTGTATAGGAAAAACATATGCTACCAACATAACTATTTAAAACATTCATGGGAGTCAGGAACAATATCTCATTGAAGTATGCTTTCAAAATAACCTTGTTTCAATTAGGACTTTTGAAGGTTGTAATGTGGTCTGATTCATGGTTTTTTAGAAAAAGATTTTAAGGCTCAAAATATTTGGTGCCCACCCACTCTTCATGATGTTCTCCAACTCTATGTTCGGTTAATTCAACATGAGTGTTCATCTCTCAAAGGATTTTGTGACGATAACATCTTTCTTACGAATTTTGAACACTCAATCAGATTAAATGAAAACTACCCTGCCCCAGGTTAAAATTCAAGGCTTTTCGTATAGAAAAGAAACTTCTGCTTCAAAGGCTCACAAAGGGGTTAGCAAGGGATTATCTTCCTTATATCTCCGGTGTTTAGGGATTTGAAACAATGCCTGTACATCATCAACAAGATCTTATTCAAAAGCATGCAACCAAAGATTTTGTGTTCTTTAGATCATCATCCCCCCTTTCAATCTCTGCCTAGGCAAGAGAATGGGCAATAAGTTGGTATCATAATGTCAAAAGAAATTTGAAATTTGAGAACAAATATGAGTGAAACGAATGAATTTCTTCAAGACAAACATACTCATTGTATTAAGATGATCATTCAGATGCAAATAAGTTCTTACATGCAAACAATGTTTTGATAAATAAGAAAAGCTACAAAAGCAGAAACAAGTTAATAATCTGGGAAGGCTTTCCACTTGAACTACCGAAAACAATCTTCAAAAATTCAAAGTCACCCTCAGTCGTGTTTACTCTTTGGCGCCTGTTTGATTTGAACTTCAAAACCAACGTCCTTGAGTGACAAGATACCACCTCGGACCAACTTCTGAACCTCAATCTTCAAAGCGAAGCGACCCTCCAAGTCATGCCCACGAGCACCTTGATGAAAAGTACAAGCCAAATCAGCTTTGTAGTTCCAATGTAACTTCTTAGGGACCTTCGGTGGAGGTCGGGTCTGAACCAAATTCCTCTGCATCAGGATAGGGAACAACTCTGTATAGGTGATTGGAATTGAATCAAACTGGGTTTTCCTCTGATTAGGAACTTGCTGATTCTGTTGATGAACGTGATGATTCTGATGATGATTATTCCTTCCTCTGGTTCTCTTCTTGGAAAAGTCATTATCAAACTTCTTCACACCATTAACTGAGCTACCCACTTCATATAAACATCCCTTTCCGACATCTTCTTCTAGACGCACTCCCACATTCACCTTGTCAGGAAAGTCGTCAGGTGCATTAACCGTCACCTTTTCATGAGAAAAAGATTTTAGAGTCTCCGTGAAGACTTTTATCCTTGCTTCCTCCATCCTAGAAGGATTGACTTGGGCGGAGATCAGAATTTCAACCAAACCAGTTAAGTGAACCAAACCAGCTTTCAAAATAGTCACCTCTCTGCGGAGTTCAGAAACCTCTTGCTTGATATTCTCCATTATCCTCTTAGCGCGAGTGTTGTACTAGTGAGACCAAGGGAAAAAATAAGACTCGGAAAAAGACCTTTGAAAGTGAGACAAAGAAAATGTAGAATGATGTATGATATGCAAAAGAGAGTTTTATTTAACTTTCAAGGAACTCAAGATATCAAGTTATAAACATCCAAGTATGAAGATAACAAATGAATTTTAAATTGGCTCCAAACATTGATCAAGTTATCGTCAAGATCAATCATCCATTTTGGTGGATTAGGGTTTTCGCCCTATCGACACCCAAGATCCATTGAGTTTGACGAAACTAGTGATGTTTACAAAGAAAGACCTCCAAACTCCTTCAAAGTCAAGTGAAAAGAGTTTTATGGATGCATGAATGCATGGCGATGCAACAACCACAAGCAAGGTCAAAAACATGGGGTTAAAAGGTTCAACGTTCCGCATGGAGTCGAGGGTAAAGCCCACCCAAAGGTATGTACTAACGTTTCAATCGCACCTGTAAGACAAGGTTCTAAGAGTTCCCAGAGTCTACATTCCTCCTTCGGATATTACCAACGTCTTGATTACTCAATAATTAGCAATATTCTCAAGAGAAACTCGTCCGAGCGTAGCATCGCGTAACAACTACTTCCGAATTACTCCGTTGTAGTCTCCGCGCTACACCTAAAAAGGCCAAGATGGGTTGGGGTTCTACGGTCCTCAACTTCTCGGGCTCCTAGGTCGAAAATAATAACGTCTTCCCGATTACTCGGTAAACAAATATTAAGTTCAAGAGGGCCTTCCATTGAGTGGGGGATCTCATGCCTCCTTCTTCGGGATTACTCCCTCAAAGTTAACATGACTATACCGCCCGTCCTATTCCTTAAGTGTTACTTAATCCGGGTATAGGATTCGTCCTTTGCAAAAACCCAAACACCCCAATTTAAACATATAATCAAGCAAATCAAATAACAATAAAACAGATAAAACAAATTAGGCTTAACCCACTTAGGGATGGACTAGCAAGAGGTCAATCTGTCCCCAGCAGAGTCGCCAATTCTGTAGCGATAAAAAATGTAGCGGGGTAAATCGGAGATCGAATTATTGATTAATTCGTCTCATAAAAGCAAGAGTCGCCACCGCGCTTTATTGTTTCCAAAGGAAAAGGGAAAAGAGCGAAATAAAACCCTAAATATGCAATGTAAATAATAATAAAAATACAAAGCGTTTTTGAAAAGAGATCTTATGGTTCGGGGGTTGGTTATACAATGGGAAGGTATTAGCACCCAATGCATCTATAGTACTCTATAGGAACCTTTTGAAATATCTGTTTATTAAAATTGTTCGTTCGATTGAAAAATAGATTGTTTTGGCCGAAAGGGGTGCGGACGGGTTTTTGAAGGTGCGACGACCTAATGTCGAAGTTTTGACTTAAAAGGTATAAGTTTTGGAAAAGATTGAAGATTTGGAAAAATTATCTTAAGTTTTTGATGAATGAGGGTATTCGCACGATGTTTTTTTTGATGACATAAAGTCGACAAAAAATTAGACAATTCCCTTGGATTGAAACGGACGAGAGATACAAAGATTACATGATCGAAAAGAGATTAAACAACTAACAATTAATCAAAATAAAAGAAAACAATTATAATATAGTTTTTATGGCGCAAACAAAATATAAAGCTCAAATGATCGAAAAAGAAATTAAACAGCTAACAACTAATCAAAATAAAAGAAAGACAATTATAATAATTTTTACGATATTTTTTATGAGGTAAAATAATTAAATATAAACCTATTTTTATATATTTGTATTTTTTGGGGAAATTTTAAATAATAAGACAAAGTTAACTGGCCTAAAACAAAAGGGTGAAAAGAAAGAAAAAAAAAGAATAAATGGATTTCAATAGGAATCGAACTTAGGACCCCAAGCATGTCAAACTAACGTGCTGACCAACACACCATACTACTCATTTGTTATTTACCTTTTTATTAAGTTAAAAAAAATATATTAAAAAAAAGGTAATGGAAATGGGTTATCAACCCAATGGGTCAACCCAATTGGGAGAAGAATAGAAAGGTTTTTTAAGAACCCTAAATAAAGAGGCGCCGCTGGCTATTAACTTGGGAAGAAAAAAAAATTATAATTAATTAATTTCTCTAGAAACCAATTACTCTATCTCTCTCTTCTATTCATAAATTAACCGTAAACAAAACGCAAACTCTCAGTTTTCAAGACCTACTCTCATAGATAGATTTCAAACCCCTTTTCTCTTCTCATTCCAAATTCTCATCCATTCAACAAAGAGAAAAATTTGAATAAATCTGTTCAACCGAAACCCATCGTCATCCTCAACGGCATCACGCTCAACCTCACTGTTCGTGCATACACGCGCGCGTCTGGCCGGGGAACTGGAAGAAGTATTAAAGAAATTCGACGTCAATGGCGACGGGAAGATCTCGACCTCCGAGCTGGGATCCATAATGGGAAGCTTAGGGCAGCCGGCAAGCGATGAAGAACTGAACAACATGATCCGCGAGGTCGACGGAGACGGCGACGGTTGTATAAGCTTACTGGAATTCATTGAGTTGAATATGAAAGGTGTTGATTCAGACGAGATCTTGGAGAATCTGAAGGACGCGTTTGCGGTTTTTTGATATGGATGGGAACGGGTCGATTACGGCGGAGAAGCTGAATACGGTTATGAGGAGTTTAGGGGAGTAGTTCAGATAGGTAGATGAAGATGACAGTGAATTTGGGTTTTGCAAAGGGTTAAGGGTTTTCAATTTCAGGTACAAGGTTTTTTTCTAATCTCAGCATCTTTTTCTTCTACTCCGTTTTCCCTATGATTTTGAATGTTTTGTTGATGCTTGTAGAGATAAACTATGAATGTTGGCTTAGGATGATATGATAACAGAGGAGGGAGGTCGAATATCACAGTGATTCACTTGTTTGGAAGAACAAGTGGAGGGGTTTGTTGTTCGTGGCAGAACAGAGGGAGAGTAAAGTAAAGTTCAAGGATGATGATTTTTTTAGAGGGTTCCAGAATTGTGCAGAGATTTGGCGTTTGAAATATACAGGGTGTATTGAAGATCTAAAAATGGCGAGGTACTTTTCTATTTTTCCTACTGATCTCTCTCTTCTCGTCTATGATCTCCAATATCAGTATGTTTATTTTTCTGGTTATTGGCCTCTATTTTTATAGTTTATAGATTTGTGAAAAAAAAGTATTGAAGTTTTATGAGGATTTATGTATTTAAGATGTGAATTCTTAATTTTCAACTCAAAATTCTTACTCTTTATTTTCTATCTTTTGAAAACAGCAGCAATGATTTTTTTATTTTTTCAGGTTCACTTGGTTTGATATCACAGCAGTTCCATAGTTTCACAATTACAACGAAATCAAGATAAATAGTAACTACAGCAACAAACAAACAACAACATGGCATGGTAATAAATGGAAGGGCATATAAAGAAGAAAGACTCACCCGATCAACGCTAGTCCGACGAGTTCCCGTTTCTAAAAAACCTTCGACAGGTAAACTAAAATTTCTCCCCCTTTTCCTTTTGAGATTTGTTGAAATTGAAACTAAAAAAAAGTTGTTGCACTGAAGGTTGTTGTGGTTCGACAGTAAATGGAGTATATCACAAGAGAAGAAGCTGGAGGGATTTTTGGTTGAGAATTGTAGAGGTTTCCTTGTTGTTATTGTTGGATGAAGTGGTGAAACAGAGAGAATATTGTGGTTTCCTTGTTGTTATTGTTGGATGAAGTGGTGAAACAGAGAGAATATTGTGGAGTATTTTGAAAGGAGTTAGCAGTTGTAGTTGTTGGTGGTTTTTCCTGTGTAGTTTTTTAATCTGATGCCATGTATTCTCCTTTATAATGGGACAATCTGGTTTTTTCTGGTGTGAACAAGTTTGTTTTTTTGAATAAACATTATATTACGTTACCGTTTTTTTGGACTGTTATGACAGGTTGGTAGCAAGTTTTAGTACAGGGCAGCAGCATGACATGTTGACAGCAGCATAACATGGATATATTGTAGCATGAAGAGAATGGTCCCAAACTGATTTCTTATTATGACAAAACAACAAAAACTATTGAAACATAATAATAATGATAATAATAATAATAATAATAATAATAATAATAATAAAAATAATAATAATAATAATAATAATAATAATAATAATAATAATAATAATAAAAGGAAAAGGAAAAGGATTAAACTAAAATTTGCAAAGAACAATAAAAAAGAAATTATAATTAATTTTAATTTTAACAATAACCCAACTTAAAAATTGAATTAAAATTAGAATCAAATCAAGACTAATATTGAAAGAAAGAAGCAAAAATTATAATAACTAAAAGAATAAAAGGAAAAGATATTAACTATATATTTTATGATTTTTTGAATTAAAGTGAAATGCTAAAATAAAATAATGATAACACATATTTTTGAGATTTTTTTACTAAATTAAATCTAAAAGATTATAATTTGAGCTTAAATGATACAAGAATAAAAAACTAAATGAAACTTAAGGAAACTAATTTTTTTATTTTTCATATTTTGAATAAAAACATAAATAAAATGAAAATAGCATGAAATAAATATTTTTTAGAATTTTCCTTTTTTATGGAAATAAGAATAAAAGAAAGATGATGTAAAATGTATGGTCGGACAAAACATAGTCCAAAATTAAGAATCAAATTCCTGAAACGACTTCTAACGTTAACAATTTTTTCGTGGCTTCTCAATGCATAATTTGCCCTTGACTTGTAAAGAAAAGTTGTAGATGATGTCAAGGAAAATCAAGTGCAAAAACAACCTCTCAAAAATGTCGAAATTCGAAGAAGTTATGAATTTTTGAAATCTGACCCGAAAAATGGCAAAAATAGGTCGAATCGCTTGTGAACGCTTGCTATGTAATAATGCAGATGAGAGGTGGGATCTTAGGTCAAAATTTGGGGTACAACAGTGACATGGTTGGTGATGCTTTTGGTATTAACGTGACCTATGATCAACCTGAAGACTTTGACGGGGAAGAGTTGCCGAATGAGAAAGCGCAGAGATTTTATCAGTTGTTGAATGAGATGAATACGCCGTTGTTTGAGGGGTCGTCAGACTCAAAGCTATCAATGTGTGTTAGATTATTGGCCGCCAAGTCAAATTGGAATGTTCCTGATAAGTGTTTGGAACACTTCGCAAAAATGATGTTGGACTCAACTGCAACGAAAGACAACTTGCCTGCGAGTTTCTATGATGTAAAGAAGTTGGTGTCGAGGTTGGGTTTAAGAGTAAGAAAGATTGATTGTTGCATTAATGGTTGTATGTTGTTTTATGACAACGAGTTTGGTACTCAAGATGGATCGTCAAAGGAATGTAAGTTTTGTCATAGTCCAAGATATAAAGTTCGCAATATAGCCATTAACAGTAACCAAAAACGGGTAACAGTAAAGTCCATGTTTTATCTTCCGATAATACCAAGGTTAAAAAGAATGTTTTCTTCAATGCACAGTGCAAGTCAAATGACATGGCATCATACAAACAAAACAAGCCCAGGCAATATGCGACACCCATCTGACGGCCATGCATGGAAGCACTTTGATGAGGTACATCCTGATTTTGCCGCTGAACCTAGAAATGTCAGGCTTGGATTATGCTCTGATGGTTTTGCTCCATATGTCCAAGCGTTCGGAAGTGCGTATTCTTGTTGGCCAGTTATTGTAACCCCTTACAATCTCCCTCTTGAGATGTGCATGATAAAACCATACATGTTATCGAAAGAAGTCAATACACCTTATCGGTCTTCGGGCTTCCAGGTCGTCCCTCTGGAAAGAAGGGTGAGCATTGGTTGACCCAACAAGAAATGCAATCTGCACATGTTCATGTCTTGATCAACTGCATTGAAGTTAAACCATATCTTGAGTAAGTATAATCCAACTTCTTAATTTTCTTTACAGTGTGAATATAAAATTGATTACCTTGAAACTTATAGTGTGTTTCTTTTTAGGGAATTTAACAACGCCTACTTTGATAGTACCAGTGTACAATCAACATCTGGTGTCATTCATGCCCAATTTCCAACATGGTTCAAGGATAAATTGTATAGGGTTGTTGCACCGACTCCAGAAATACTCCATTTGAGAAACTTATCTAATGGCCCTCGTCAAAGTGCAAACAAATGGCACACATACTTCGTGAACGGATATAAATTTCACACTCATGAATGGACTGAAGGGAAAAAAAACATAAATAGTGGCGTATTTGTGAAAGGAGTTACAGATGGTGGTGAAGATGACTTCTATGGTTTTGTTAAACATATCTACGAGTTAGTATACAATTACTTGGACTCGGAAAATAAAGTTGTCTTGTTTTATTGTGAATGGTATGATCCAACTAGAGGCACAAAAATAGATAAGACATATGGTGCTGTTGAGATTCAAATGGACCGGAGGTACAAAGAGTACGACCCTTTCATAATGTCAAATATTGTTAGGCAAGTTTATTATGTTCCTTATCCTTCATTTGTGCCATGTAAACGACAGTGTTGTGTTGTAATAAAAACAAAACCATTGGGTCATATTGAAACTGACGATCTAGTGGAGGATGTTGCTTACCAAGTTGATGAAGTTGAAGTTAATGATGTGATTCCAGATGAACACACTACAAGTTTGTCTGATACAATGGTTGAGGGGAATCAAGTTGATGAGGATGAAGATCATGAAGATTCTGGATCTGAGGATAGTATCACATCAGATGACGATGATGAAATGTATGATGAGCATGACGATTCAGAATAGTGAACCTATATTCATGAGAATTGTGTCTTTTAATTTTACTTAACGAACCATTCATTGAATGATTTAATGAATATGTATTCATGAGAATTGTGTCTTGTAATTTTACTCAAAGAACCATTTATTGAATGATTTGATGAATATTTATTCATGAGAATATGTATATGTTAACTTGTATTTTCTTTAATTAGGTAAAAATGCCACCCAAAGATAATAAGGGTAAAGGTCCTAGTGATAGTGGTAGGAAGCCCAGGCGTCCAAGGGTAGTAGTATGCCAGTCACCTCACTCAGCCACGTGTCCTCCCCTGCAGAGTCAGGTTCATCATATGTCCATGGACAGTACTATGCCATTTACTCCATTACTATCATCTCAGAGTCCTCTTCAGTTCCCATCTGGGAGTACATGTTTTATTAGTCCATCTGGGGCCCCACCTGGTTTACCATTTCAGCAGTCACAAGTGCCCTCATCTTTCCAGCAGACACAAGTGCCCTCATCCTTCCAGCATACACAGGTGCCATCCTTCCAGCAGACACAGGTGCCCTCATCCTTCCAGCATAGTTTTCCATTTCCCACACAGATGCCCTCATTCGTGCAGCAGCCTGGAGGATCCAGCACCCCACTTCCTACACAGATGCCCCCATCCGTCCAGCAGCCTGGAGGATCCACCTCTTCACGACCCACACAGACTGGTCTCACCCCCACATCCCACACAGAGTCGGATGATGACGATCTTGGTGTGGATGATAATCAGATAGATGGGAGAGATCTTCGATGGGATGAT